TTTATATATACTATTCTTGCTGACCGCTGAACCACCATTTTCATCACGGTACATTTACGTTAATACTTAGGATTAACAGACTGAATATCTCTAATCGTAATCTCTTAAAATGTTTGATATAGAAAGACAGAAATGCTATGTAGGTTCAAACTCTTCCATGTTAGAAGTTCGTTTAGTAACGATTAAAATTTACCTTACCTAACGTACGTACGTACTCTTAATAACAATTTCAGAGTGAAATTAAAAAGAAGGGCGTATAATGATAGATTAAGTATGTAATATCTACTAAATACAATGCCAACGAAGTCTTTCACTAATACTAAGTAATGGTTGAGATGTTAGTTATACTAGCAAATTGCTCGAAAAACAACTGTTTCGGTGTGAAATAGATCAGTTTAGTTATGTCACTACACATCAGATTTAGGGGAAAAAATTTGTAACAGATTATATATATGTTTCTTTAAACTTATTTAATAATACGATACTAATAACTTTTTATTCTTTCTTATATATGTGTAAAATATATAATAAAAAACAAGTAAATATTACATAAAAAAAAAGATTTAACGTTTTCACGCATGGAAAAGTGGATTCATAAGCCAAACATAACTTCTTTTTAGATTTTGAAACGATTTAAATCAAGAACTAATACAATTTTTAAACTTAGTATCATAACCTAAAACTATCATAGACATTTAAATTGGTGTTGGTGAATTTAAGAACAAATCTATATTTATTTGGAAAGAAAGAAATACTATCCTTTAAGAAACAGGAAATGATTCATTCTCGTGTATTTTTTTTTAAATGTTTCTCAAAAAATAGAACATCCTTAGCTTTTCTTCTCAAGAAAACAAGACATTATTTATCTACTTTCTGAAGAAAGCAAGACACTTTTCCCTACTTTTCTCTAGCAAACAGGATATTCTGTGTCTACTCTTTTCCAGAAAACAGGACATTTTTCTACCTTTCTCCAGAAAAGAGGACATAATTTATCTACCTTTCTCCAGAAAGCAGGACAGTGTTTATCAATTATTTTCAAGAAAGGAGTACATTCTTTATCCACTCTTCTCCAGAAAGCAGGTCATTCTTTATCTACTCTTCTCCAGAAAGCAGGACAGTGTTTATCAACTATTTTCAAGAAAGGAGTACGTTTTTTATCCACTCTTCTCCAGAAAGCAGGACATTCTTTATCTACTGTTCTCAGGAAAGGAGGACATTCTTTATCTACACTTTTCAATAAAGCAGAACATTCTTTATCTACTGTTTTCGTGAAAGGAGGACATTCTTTATTTACAAAAAATCAAGTCATATTTCATCTACTCTTGTCAAGAAAGTAAAATACTATTTAACTATTCTTCTCATGAAAGTGGGAAATTATTTTTTCTTCAAATAAAGCAGTGCATTCTTGATGTACCCTTCTTAAGAAAGCAAGACACGAGGACATTTTTTATGAAACATATTTTAGAAAACGAGAGTAGTTCTGTCTTTTCTTTCCATGAAAGCAGAACATTCTTTTGTCTACTATTCTCTAGACAGTAGAAGTTACTCTGTATACCTTTGTTAGAAAAGAAATACATTATCTGCTCATCTCAAGAAATCAGGACATTCTTTATTTACTGTTCTCTAGAAAGCAAGCATTCATTTAGTTCTTCTTTAATTAGCACCTTATGCTCTACTTGTTCTTTTCTAGAAAGCATGACAGTCTTGATATACTTCTTTCTTGAAAATAAGAGGCTCTTTAGCTACTCTTATCTAGAAAGCGGGAACTGTTCTACTTTACCTTTCTTCCATATAAAAGTAAAATGTTTTATTGCATTAACTCTTTTGTGTTATTTTTGGAAAGCAAAAAATTCTCTTCCTGAGGACATAAAAAATGCATTTAGAAAGAAAGACATTCTCTTTCTACTCTTCTCAAGAAAGAAGGAAATTATTTTATATACTCTTCTCTAGAAAACAAGGAGTTGCACTGTTCATCTTTTTGCATCAGGGGTCATCTTCTCTCGATTGCAAGAACCACTTTACCTACTGTTATCTGTTAATTAAGCAAGAGATGCGCTGCCTACTCTTCAATAGAACGCAAAAGATGCTCCTTTTTATAATGTAACTTTATTTACTCTTCTCTAGAAAGTAAATGTTGTTCGATCCTCTCTTTTCCAGGAAACATTTTATCAAGTAAAATTAGTTGACAGAAAGGTGAGTTTTACGATTAATCAGTTCTTTAGAAATCTTACAGTAACTTATGGGTCACTCATGCTCATAATTTCCATAAAGAAATATTGTGTATTTCCTTGTGGTGACCAGTCTGATCAAAGTATTGGTTGCCAAAGTTCGAATCAATGACTTAATTCAAATAGAACACTCATCAATGAAGATAAAATACTGTATCCTGGATAAATAATAACTAACGTACATACTTCAATTATAAAATACCGAAAATTATGAAAAAATTAAACCCAGTGTATTCTTTATTATGCAATTTTCGTAAAATGAGTAGTCTGCGATCATCAAGACTAACGGGCTAATTTTAAAAGCACTGAGTATACAACTTGAGACATAATTGGAATACAATAAGCAAAATCATGGATCACAACTGACAAAACTCTTTAAAACAGAGTCGGCAAAACCATTGAAATACGAAACAAAGATATTGATTTGAAGTTGACAGCCCTTGATAAAGTAATTACATGATTGATAGAATATAATTGAAAAACTTCTATAGAATTAAAAAGAAACAGAGGAAACGTGGTACTACTGTTATGTTTATTGTAATGCCAAGAAGGGTATAAAGGACACGTGTTATTAGTGGTATGTTTAATGTAAAGTCAAGAAGGGTACAGAGGACACGAGATATTCTTGGTATTTCTAATATAATATGAAGAGGATATCCGATCTATTGGTATGTTTAGTATAAATTCAAGAAGTTACAGATTGCACGTGGTACTACTGTTATGTTTATTGTAATGCCAAGAAGGGTATAAAGGACACATGTTATTAGTGGTATGTTTAATGTCAAGTCAAGAAGGGTACAGAGGACACGAGATATTATTGGTATTTCTAATATAATATGAAGAGGATATCCGATCTATTGGTATGTTTAGTATAAATTCAAGAAGTTACAGATTGCACGTGGTATTACTAATATGTTTATTGCAAGCAAGAAGGTTGATGTTTATTGATAAGCACAAAGCTACACAAAGGGCTATCTGTTTAACACGGGTATCGAAAGCCGGTTTCTAGCGGTGTAAGTCCGCTGTACCACTGAGGGTGCAAGCAAGAAGGAATAAATTACAGTAGTGTTATAGATATATTTAAGTTAAGAAGAGTATAGAGGACATAGGTTATTATCGGTACGTTTCATGTAAGATTTTGAAGGGACATTGAGGATACGTTTGATCATTTGTATTTTTATTGTAAAATCTAGTAACGTGTAAGAAAACACAATATTATTAGTATACAATATTTAGTGTAAATTCTAGGATAGCCTAAAGGAAGATTTTTGGTATTGAGAGTATGTTTAGTTTAAAGTCAGGATGGGTTTAGAGGGTATGTAGTATTATTGGTATGTTTCGTGTAAAGTAAAGAAAAGGCATGGCAGATGCGTTGTATTAATTGTATATTTAGTGTAAAATCAATAATGATACAAAGAACACATGATAATGTTTGTAAGTTCAATGTAATATGAAAAAGGGTATATATATATATAAACAGTATTATTGGTATGTTTAGTGTAGAGTGAGGAACAAGTATATTAGTACATTCAGTGTAATGTTTAGAAACCTAAAAATGATGTCATATTTCTAGTATGTTTAATGTAAAGTAAACTAGAACACAGAGAACACGCGATATTATCAATATGATTATTGCAATGTCAGAAAAGTGTAATGGACTTATGGAACTATTGGTAATTTTAATGTCAAGAAGGGTACAGAGGGCAGATGCTAGTATTGGAATGTTAGTAGTTAACTAGCTTGGCATGTACCCAAAGGAGTCGCCTCAGTGAGAGGTCGTCGGTTAGTGGCGGTCCTTTGAGACCGAGAGGTTATGTGACATCATAGTTCTGCAATGTGGCGCCAATACTAAGAGGACACATAGTACCAATATGCGCTAATAGGGGGCAGATAGTTTCAAATTTATAGAGCGATGGGGAATCTATGCGGATTTGAGTGGGTAGATGTTTGTTATTGATTTGTAAACCATCAGATGGTGTAATCAGGAATGTAAAGCTCTTACCGCTGTCCCATGGAGGGACTATAATATTCGTAGAAGTCATTTTGTGTGAATAAGTATTTAAAGGTTGTTTTACGCATATTGCACGTTTGATTGTAGTTTATTTTAGAGATGATAATCATGTTTTCATTATAATATACAAAATTTGATTGGACATATGTTACGTATAATCTAAATGAGATTATGTGTTATATATAAAACAGAAATGTGCCTTTTATGTTATCTCACAGTTATAACGGTGCCAGTCTTTAAACCTGTGATATAACAGTGTTAACACAAATTACTGGATAGTTTAGTTGATCAGTTACTGTCTCGCTAAATCTGATTTTAGTGACCTTCGTATAAGTTGCGTATATTTCTACATTATATCCATATGATAAATACATATCCAGAGTGTACTTACAGATGTACGTGACAAAGTATGAGTTTTAAAACCCAACAATTAAAACCTTATACTTTACGCTAACGTATGATAGTAACAGTGCATCAGTAATTTTACGTTTTATAGTAACAGTGCGAGTTTTATAACTAACTAGACGTGCATTTTAACTCCCTTTGACTCATAAATCAACGACGATATTATTGACAAATGGTAAACCAGACATTGTTTTTTCCTTACTCGCAGCTAAAAACAACTCTATTGTACAACCAGTTATCTGTGAGATTTACAATATCATTTTATATTACTACGAAATATATCTGTAGAAATCCGTGTGTTTTGTAAGTTAAAGGTTGTTATAAATACCATAGTGATTAACAATATTTTCTCACAGGTCATGAAGTAGTTCCTCGTCTTGACGTCTGTAATGCTGTCTATGGAGGCAGAGTCAACGCTATAAGACTCTTGTGCCACGTAAAGGACGGATGATGTGTTAAATACGTCGGCTTTACATCACTCTATCCAAGGATCAATAAATACTGTGAGTACCCTGCTGGGAATCCAGTTATAATTACTCCTCAGATTTCTTATTTAAATTATTATTTTGGATCTGTCAACTGGAAAGACTTAACCTCAAGGAAACTCTATAATCCAGTTCTCCCTTTATGAAGTCGTGAAGTTTTCCTCTATGTAAAACCTGTGTATAAGAAAGATCAATCACTACAGCCAAGCCAGTACACAGATAAAAAACGAGTTTTTACTGGAGCTGGATGACACAAGAAGCTAAGAAAGCTCTTGAGTGTGGATGGATACCAGTTAATAAATATTTACGAAGTTTAACTTTATCCTCGTAAATATTCTAACCCTTTCAAAGGATATATATAGGTACCCTTTTAAAACTTAAGCAGGAAAATTCCGGATGGTCTCCACACTGGAACACTCTAGAATCACAACAATACTATATCCGGTTGAATCTTGAACATCTTCATACTAACTCCGAAAGAAGACCTACTTCCAAACTATGCTTAAACTCATTTTGAGGATGTTGGGATATATCTGAGGAAAAAGTCAACTGACATATAAACTATCCGTAAACGAGTGTTCTACATTGATTTAAGATTATTATGAGATCATTACAGACGTTACTCTTGTCAAAGGTAAAGTACTTTTATACTCCGACTTGTCAGAGTCAGATTGATGTTGGCATTTCAGAGAAACATCTTTAGCAAAAAAAAACATCTCTTTCGTTGCGTACAACAGACTTGTACCGTTTACTAAAATATTGCCACATTTCATGAATTCAGAATTACAGCCAACATTACAGGGTAGATCTAATGAACCGACCCCGGGCATTAGCATTAACATTCAGTTAATATTTTTATATGATACATATCTAGACTTTAAATGTTTTAGATTAACAAGGAAAAAAAATTCTCTACGTAGAATGTAAGTTAAACTAGTATATGGATATTCATACGTGTAAACCACGAAGTACGCTATAATATTATAACAAAACGTGAAGGAACTTGTCCAAATATATGACATAACTTGACATTCATGTTTAGATGTAAGCTAAATTAGTATGGAGATATGAATATGTTGCATAGGATAAATATCTAGAGATTGAATACTTTAACGCAAAAACCGTCCTTTTCAGAACTACGTATTTGTAAAGTAAACTAGTGTATGCTTAAATCATGAAGAACACTACGCAAATTAATCAAACTGTAAGACATGAAATATGAAATTTACATATTCATAGACTTTGTTTATTGTTGATATTGAAATGAAACAGTAAAGTTAACCCTAACTATAATACAGAAACTAATATTGTGTTAAGAACTATAAGAACGAAATACAAGATTTGTTTTGCATAACATAATACAAATTGACATTCACAAAACATTCACAAAACATCTTATCATGTAGAATATGCGAACTCAACGCTCTTCTAGTTCTTGAATATTTTGCAATTATTCATCTCCTAGCAGCATGCTTTGGAACTATCTACCCCTAGTAACACAGCTTGGAACTATCCGACACTAGTGGCAAACATTAGAAACAGCCACATTTAGTAGCACATCATGGAACTCTGCGCCCCTAGTGGCACATCTCTTGATGTTTGTTGTAAAATAAAGAAGGGAATAGAGAACGCATGTTATTATTGAAATGTTTATTGTAAAATTAAGAAGGTTAGAGAGAACACGAATTATTACTGGAATGTTAAGTGTAAAATTAAGAAGGTTAGAGAGAACACGAATTATTACTGGAATGTTAAGTGTAAAATTAAGAAGGGGATAGAGAACACGTGTTATTATTAGTATGATTAAGCTAAAGCCAATAGGGTGTTTTTAGTGACCCGTCAAGAAGGGATGTCTAGAGGACACGTGGTATTATTTGTGTGTTTAATGTAAACGAACAAAAGGTACATAGACCTCATAGTATTATTGGTATATTCAGTGTGATGTTAAGAAGGATTGTATTGTTTGGTGTAAAGTTATGAACTGTACAGAGAACACGTATTATTATTATTTTGTTTACTGTGAATTCAAGAAATGGTATAGGGACACGTAGTTAAACTGGTATTGTTAGTGTAAAATGGAAAAGGGGCATAGCGAGCACGTTATATGTATCAACTTTATGAAAAGTTTTTGTCGTTCGACCCAACTTTGACTTTGTAAGAATATTTTACTTTGAATTTATATAAATGTCAGCGTATCATATGTTAGGACATTATACTATATTAATTCCATGACAGTGAACCAGTTCGAAATGGTTCGTGTCTGCTTTGTTTTATATCGATCTCATGAATTACGGACATCATTGTACTCATAAATAACTAAAGAGCAAATTTTAATACGAAACTTTTTGGCGTTCGGCTTCCTAGAAAACAACTTGTTGCCATTGGTTTCCAAGCACAACTTAAGTTATCAGACAACAGGAGGACGGTAACAAGTTTGTCCTTCTGTGAAAGATTTTAACATCTAATTTTACTATGCCAGATTAAAGCATGCAACCTAACGAAGATTTAAGCAACAGGAACATCGTTATTAACCTCCATTATTACAAACATAAAATGGACCAATAGGAATTCAGTAACATAGTTTTATAGCACTATTTTTGCAAATACACGCTCGTACAGTTCAAACAGCAGTGGTATACATATAAAACACATGATTAAATTTATTATTGTAATGAAAGTTAAATATTCCTAAACTGTTGTTCTTCATAAAGAATTTCCTTCCGAACAAACTCTCGAATGTGAAATCAGTTTTGTATCTAAAGCTGGAAGACGGTTTCGTCAGAAACTTGTGAACACTGTATTTACAAGTGCGTATTCTAAGTGTAAGTGAATACATGCAAATATTTATTTCTAGTTGTTTCAATTTTCCTTTAGTTTGGATTTTTAGTAATAATTCTTACTTGAAAATAAAAATCATACATACAATAAAACATGTCATGTTTATAAAGACAGAAACAATTATTTATAACCCACTTTGTCAACCACATAACCTTGCCAAGCAAAGAAATATGTTAGAATATGGTATTTTCCAGAATGTTAAAATTGTCAACATTAGATGATTATATATATTCTCAAAAGTCTGTTTGCTTATTTAATATCTCTATATCCCCTGTCTTCTAAAAGAAACTGTTAGTGACAGCTAAGTAATATCCTATTTTTCTTTTACCGTTCGAATAATACACAGCTACAAATATGACTTTTATAAATAAATTGTATTGTTAATAAATGCTGCTTCTATTTATATCATGTTCCAACAGTATAAAATGTTCCAAATTTTAAAGCCTGGTGAAGGAATTTCATATATCTGTTTTTCTTTTAGTCCAAGCATGGTGATCTTTCGTTTCTATCGAACTTCTAAAATCAATGAAACAACACGAGTACTGTGAATCGATAAGTGAGCATGCGTAAAGATAACTCAGCATCTATCAGCGTCACAAGTTTGTGTTTTGAGCAAGCTCGTAAAGAACAGAATGGTCTATTGGAATTCAATGAAACCAGACATCCGACACTTGACATAAAATCCAGCTAATAACAATTGTATACTAGAGAAAATGTTTACACCTGAATAAAAAACTTTGAAAAAATCTAGTTTCAAAGTAAATAATTTCCTAATACAGCAGAGAAAAGTAGAAATTCAAGGGAAAATATTTATCAGGTTTTCAATGGAATATTTTCGGTTCAAGAACAGGGTATTTTATGACATAGATTTAAAAGAGGTTTTTAACTTAGTTAAGAAGATGTAATATAAATTTCACTACAAAGTAAATTTGGGAGGTCACTAACGTATTTTTAGCATGGTTACTTAAATATTATAACAATTTCGTTAGTTTTCAACTGACAGTTTGTTTTTTAAATTATGTACAAAGCTACACAAGGGCTATTTGTGCTCTGCCCACCACGGGTATCGAAACCCGGTTTCTAGCGTTGTAAGTCCGTATACATACCGCTGTGCCACTGGGGGGCAGGGGTTAAGCATTAATTTCCAATAATCTCAAAACAGTTTTCTTACCGTTACGCTCCTCAGTGGCTTAACGTTGAGTCTGAGGGCTCACACCGCTAAAAACCAGGTTTCCATACTCGTGTTGAGCACAGCTCAGATAGCCCATTGTGTAGCTTTATGCTTAAAAAAACCAAAAAAACCTTACCACTACAAAATATTAAGATTAGCTTTTACGAATATCAACCTTATTGTGTTTTCCAACAATAAAAACTGAGGTTTATCCCGATAAGAACAAAACCAATTTATTTCACCATAAAACAAGTTATAGCGGCAGAAACCCATTGTTACTATGATAACAATAATCTCCACCAGAGTAATTCATCGTTAATTTTAATACAAAATATACATTTTATCAAAGTATTCCACCTCTCGAAAGTGTTGGGTATCTATAGTAAACTAATAATAATAAAGTTATTCCTATCACTTTTAATTATACTCTGTCTATGAGATATCAACAATATACTCGATAACATTATTCTATACTGTATTGTTTATCGGGGAAGAGAACATTCATCTAGTGAAAAATCAATGGTTAAAATTTTGTAAATTATACTCTGTCTATGAGATATCAACAATATACTCGATAACATTATTCTATACTGTATTGTTTATCGGGGAAGAGAACATTCATCTAGTGAAAAATCAATGGTTAAAATTTTGTAAATTTAATAAAATATATGAATGCTAACAGGCCTAAAAACAAGTTAGTTGCAGATGTTTTCACACAATTCTCTTAATTTGGCCATTGCGACCTATTGGTTTTTCAATATTTCCCCGGCTTTCTACGTTTAATTTGTTGGTTTATAATTAAGCACAAAGCTACGCGATGGGCTGACTATCTGTGATGTGTCCCCCACTGTCGAAACCCGGATTTTAGTGTTGTAAAGTCCACAGACATACCGCTGAGCCACTGGGAGGATTCGACGTTTAAGTGGTAACTTTTAAAATATATGAATTTGAAATACAGAGAGAAGTAACTTTGTAGATCTATGAATATAATTTTTGTTATTGTTTTCATTACATTTCATACTAGAATGACCTTGCAATTTTTATAAATATGACAGCGCCATCTATGGATAGGAATATAATATATATGTGTTTTGAATAATACGACAACATTATTTTTTGTTTGATGTAAGTTACAAATTACATTTTTGACAATATTATGACAGCGACATATACTGTTATATTTGAATTTGTACATAATTAAATCTTTATAGATATATTTTTTTCCATTAATTTAAATTCCAGTTTTTACTTCATAACATAACACGTTTATGGATTCATTAGTTTACACCGATTAAAGTACATCAAACATACTGTTGGTATGAACTTGAACTTCGAATATAAACTATTTTCGGAATACTAAGTTCATTTATTACATCAAATGGTAACAATATCCAAATTGAACCTGAAGTTTTTCATTTACAAATATACTAGATTTGCCCAAATAATAACAAGAATCTTAATAAAGTACTTTTTTATTAATAAAAATTGAATATAAATCTTAAAAAAGTATTTGAAGAAAAAATGTAATATTTTTGGAAGTAAATCTACCAAATAGTTTTAATCGTATGACATTGTGCTTAAAAAAATACCACAACTGACATAGTCATCTACTGCCACTCAGTACCAGAAAAAAAAAAAAAAAAATAGATTATGCACGTACATTTCGTAACAGTCACGAGTTGTGGTTACCAGTCTGAAATGTGATAAGATGTTCAATAAAACTATCTAATTTTGATTGATAAATATTGTATTAACCTATCATTTTGCTGCTTGAAATCATCACCATTAGAGATTTATTTGAGTGCATCATTTTTCTTCACAGGTCTTATTCTGGGTTGTAAGAAAGTCTTTATTTCATAAACCATTTTAGATTAATTAGTGACTAAAGTCATTAAAACAAATCCTACTGTTTATCTGGCTTATTATAATTTTTCTTTTGATGCTTGTTTGTTATGGATTTCGCGCAAAGCTACACGAGGGCTATCTGCGCTAGCCGTCTCTAATTTAGCAGTGTAAGACTAAAGGAAAGGCAGCTAGGCCCCACCACCCACCGCCAACTATTGGGCTACTCTTTTACCAACGAATATTGGGATTGACCGTCACATATAACGCCCCCACGGCTGAAAGGGCGAGCATGTTTGGTGCGTCGGGGATTCGAACTCGCAGATTGCGAGTCGAACGCCCTAACCACCTTGCCATGCCGGACATCTTTTGATGCCAAAGAACGTTACCGAAACTGGTTTGAAAATTTCTCAAGCGCCACCTGGCTTGTAATCCAAACTTAAAGAAAGATAGAATCCCAGTGAAATTTAAAAAAATTCGTATTCCTTTTTCTTCTTGTTTTGTGAAAATTATTCTAAAAACAGTTATTAATATTTTTAGAAGAAAACTGTACGAGTTGAATACGCACAAAAAAAACGCCTTTGTCTAACCTACAGTAACACTTCTAATTTTTAATGTTTGTAGTTAAGCACAAAGCTACACAATGAGCTATCTGTGCTCTGTCCATCATCGGTATCAAAACCAAGATTCTAGCGTTGTAAGTCCTTAGACATACCGCTGTGCCAATGGGGGGGGGGGCAATTTTTAATGAAAAAGTCTTAATGGGAGCTAACAGTCTCTATTAGTGCAACTCATAAACATCATAGAAATCAATAGTGTTGAGTGTGCTTTTAAAACTGAAATCTCTCTGCCATGATTTTGGTTTCTTATTTATTAAACAAAATTACTAATCTTTCTAGTTTCCACACATTATACCAAAACCTCATCATAAGTCTCAAAATCATTTTGTCTTATTACTTAAAGGTACGGGCCCGGCATGGCCAGGTGGTTAAGGTGCTCGACTCGCAATCTGAGGGTCACGGGTTCGAATCCCCGTCACACCAAACATGTTCGTCCTTTCAAAGAGGGAAGGCTGTCAAGTGGGTTGCATCCTTGACGTAAGAAACAGCTTTAGAAACGATGGCAGAGCAAGATCTGCCATCGGCTCAACGGTTCGCAAGGACTATGAGATATAAAAAAAACAAAAAAAAACTTAAACGTACACTGAGTTTCGACCAATGATTTTAATCTAGCGCTCATAAAGCATACCAGTACCACAATACGAGCACATTTCTCAAGATACTAAACAAATATTGTTTTTTGGAGAGTGGGCTATCTGCTGTGTCCACCATAGAACCCCGGATTTTAGCGTTGTCAGTCCTTAGACTAACCGCTGTTCCACCGGGAGACAAACAGGTATTTCAGTCATAATCGCCACATTAATAAAATATACGTATAAACGGGTGTAGACAATTACTCTAACTTCCTGAGAAACTAGGTGTATAAATGGTGTTTCATAGGACTATTTCTTATATTTTAGCTGTATTGTTTTTCCTATCAACATCAATAGTTTTACCTTACAAAAATTGACGAGTTTCATAGAAAACTAAAGACAGTTGATAAAATACAAGCATATTTATAAATTATTTCCTCATATAAGTTTTCGTTAGTTGCATTGTTTTATAGAATTCAGATTTTCCAAAATACAGGAAAGAAAGAAAGAAAATCGTCCAAAATTATTCAAAAATAAAATATCACAATAAGCCTAATAACAGTTTAATTACTCCCTTCTTTATCTGTCCAACACTTACACTAGCTGAAGAGTTAATGGTATGTTATTGTACACTCTCCTTATTGGAGGCCTGTATAGGTCAAATAGAGAATGATGTAGTTGAAATTATTAGTCATATTACTGTGATGTAATATCATGTTTACACAAACGATCAAGTCGTGACTCAACAACTTTGGTGTTATACGTAAACTGTATATATAATTTTAGTACTTTAAGATTCACGTCTATAAACGTTTTCTCCTGTTCTGTGTTCACTTTTAGTTGATCTTAATGAAGCCTTATTTTTTCCAAATTGCATTAAAAAAGCACGGAAGAATTTATGTTTTGTAGTGTAGAAATATATATTAGGTCGTCAAGAAATTAATGTTCATTTTGGAACACTTTCATTAAAAAAAAAAGTACATCACCTATAATAGTTAAACGAACCTTCTAAACGTCATGTTAGTATAGCCTATATAATGTGTAAAGTTTAGTTTACTCTAATGCCTTTTGGTATTGGCACGCGACGAGACACACATTCGGCATGT